ACACACACACACACACACACACACACACACACACACACACACACACACACACACACACACACACACAAAAAGCAATAATAAAATAAAAGCCAAAAGTTGCACTGGTTTGCTTAAATTGACTTGTGAATTTGACCTTTTCACATAAATGCTTGTAAGTGATGCCTGGAAACATCAGAAACATTGAAAACCACAACTTCTATCATTTGCTCCACCAGGGTCCATCAAAAGGCAGAGGAGAAGAATGGAAAGTGAAATCGGAAAGATGCCTCCAGTTCTCAACAGTCCTCTGAGTCCAGGGAAGCGGTCCAGGTTGAAGCTGAACTGTCCTCTATCTCCAAAGGACAGACACTGTGGACCAAAGCTCAGCAGTCCTCAGGAGTTTAACCAGTGGTTACCCTACCGCCAYGCTGCCAGCCTGCTGGCCATGAAGGAGGACCTGGCTCTGTGGCTCAGCAAAATAATGGGTGAGGCCTAATTATATTCCAAAACATGTGTTTATTACTTCAGTCTGTAAAACTTTATTCTGTTTTTAATAAAACCCTCAAATGTTTCTTCTTTGCTAGAAGAAGGACTCATTAAATTTATCCGCTTAACAGTCGCCCCTGAAATTCCTTTTTATTTTATTTTTTTAAATTTTTTTGTAAGGGTGTAAATTTAAAGGTAAGAACCGTAGGAGGTCGTCTGACACCCTGGTTTTCAAATAAAAAAACAGGAAACACCTGAAAACATTTAAAGGCAGCCGTTTTTACACACGAAAATGAAGTGACTGGACCAGGGGCGGCGGCCGGGGGTGGCCATGGCCACCACAGACAACTCTTTGCCCACCCTACTGGCCACCCTACTGTACACACACACCCCTTCCACAGTGAAACAACCTTTAGGGGTGTAATAATCCTCCTGAACAGTTGGTGGCAGTGTTTAACAGTTTGAAACATTACCAAGCTCTATCACTGAAGAAGAGTAATGACAAGGAAATAATGATTTTCTTTACATACAGAACATAAGCCTATGTAATCTGACTTGTGTCAACTTTTGGACATTTGGTGACAATTTTTTTGTCACCATAACACTGTGTCATTTTATGTTCTGAAGGCTGCATGATGCTCTGTGTTTGTTATAAGTTGGCTTATCACTAAATCAGAAATAGTGAAACACCCCTCTAAATTCACTAAATTCATTGGGTAAAATTTATAATGTTAGTTTTAAACATGCAGTTGAGGGTCATCATTATTTGGCAAAATGGCATGTGCTACAATTAAAAATAATCCAATAAACAATGTAAAAGTAAAAGGCACCCTTAAAGTTATTGGATATGGTAAACTGTGTCACATTAATTGATCTTGTCTCAGCTGTAGCAGTGAATTTAAAAACAGGATGATGGAACCAGTTTAATGAATAATTTTTCTCTGAAATAATAATTAAATCAAGCGTTAATTTAAGTCAGTAAAAGTATGTTTAACAGCCTGGTAAAATACATCAGAATGCAGGAAATGGCATCTATTTCGTCCAAAATTTTCTGGAGGAGGACCCCCCAGACCCCCCAATAGTGTGTCCCCCCACTTTTAAAATGGTTCTGCACTCGTGTTTATAAGGACAAAAGGAAATGACAAAAACACAAAGATCTGCAGAAACTTTCAAGTAAAAAGATCATGTAATTTTCCTGGCCACCCCTGAGAAAAATGTCTGGCTCCGCCACTGGACTGGCCTTAAATCAGGAGGTTGTTTTCTCACACTCCAACTTATGAAGCGTTCTGGAGAATAATACTGTTTCTCACCTGTAAGTGCCTTTGTATAAAATCTTAACGAATGAAAAGCAGTGGCATGTGGACCCACCTGTTGATGGTTTTATTTTGTATTGCTGAGTAATTACTCACTGTGTCTGGATTCTCCTCAGGCGTGAACCTCTCAGCAGGCAGTCTAATAGAAAAGTTGGATAACGGTGTTCTCCTCTGTCAGCTGGCCCATCTGCTCCAAGAGAAGATGGTTCCTGTCGACAATAGCAAGGTGCAGCATCAACACATACAGTATCTTTATACATGTCAGGTTTAATGTTGCCGTGCATTAGCTGTTCACATCTTGTCTTGCCCTTTAGACCTCACCTTGCTACAGTTTTGTTTAGACAAGTTTTTTTTTCTTTTATCCTTAGTGCTCACAAAACACTGAGGATAATGAGGATGTCTCAGTCAGTGCTTATATTTACCTRAAGATGTTTGGGTGTGCCGTTAATCCAGTAAAGAATCACTGAAGGAATGTGTTTCCACTGCAGACTCACTTCCTCTTTGTGTCTGTTTCAAAAACAATGGTAGCCGTTTGTCAGAAGAGTGATCCACTGGCGAGCTGATGCAACTTCTGGGTCGTTTTTCGCTCGAGATAATGCCGCCAATTTCCTCTACTGGTGTCGAAAGATTGGCGTTGATGAGGCTTACCTTTTTGAGTCTGAAGATCTGGGTGAGCTCAAACCTGAGAACTTGTTTTAGACTAATGACTTCATGATTGAAATACACAGAAATAATAACTGTGTTAAACGCACTCATGTGTTGCTTTGTGAGCATCCTGACAAAGGTTTGTATTTTTACTTCTTATACGGGCATGTCTGAGCAGGGCCACACATGCGTGAGAATGATAATATGCAGGTAAATCCTTACCCTCTTGTCTGCTTCACTTTGATAATTAACTGAGAGGAAACTTGCTGAGCTTTTCTTTGTGTCACAAAGGTAYGATCTGCATTTCTGTCGTACGGTGGATGCAGAAAGTCTACCTAATATGCTTTTATTTTGTAATGTTAGCTATTTTAACAATTTGATTGCAACAATTTTTTAATCTAAAGCTGAATACACCCACCCACACACAGCCCCTGTCACAGTTCCTTTCATATAAAGATAGTGGAGGTCAGAAAGGTTTTTCTTTCCATGAAGCCCTCATGCCCTCAGTCACAGATCCAGAACCCACAGGAATTCCCTGGTCACCTTTAAAGAAAGAAGAGCACAAAAGAGGCAGAATATTCTCTGAAACGGGCCTTTTCTCCTGCAGCTGGAGCTTCGGTTCTCTTTTGTTAAAGATAGAATTTTATCTCCGGAAACATCTTTCTTTTCAGATGAATCATCTGTTTTTCTTTTTCTTTTTCTTTTTATCCTTATTTCTGCCCCCCTCTGCCCTGCTGTTTGTCGTGTGCTGTCTGAGTGAAGTCCTTCACAAGCGGCCTCGGGAGGTGTGCCTGTGCCTGGTGGAACTGGGGTGGATTTCAGCCAGGTAACCTGAAGTCAGCAGCTGTCCACACAGAGCACTGCTTTTAAAAGTTCTATTCTATTCATCTACATAAAGACTAAAATCTGCCAAACTCAAGGCTGGYGGGCCAAATGTGGCCTGCCGCAGCATTTTGTGTGGCCCGTGAGAGCTTCAAACATGTATTAATGTCTTTAAAATAGAACATGCTTCTTTAAAGTCTGCATGAACTACATCTCCCTTAATGCATGCCGATTATGTTACCTGCAAAATGAYGGCATCCTACCACTAGGTGGAGGTGCACAGAGTTCAAAAGTAGCCTGCAGCCAGCAGCTGGTGAACGATGCCATGTAAAGTCTCCATTTTTTCAGCAACTTTGCTTTTGTTGCAGCCCAGTCATACTGGAAAGTGGGAATTTCCCATTTGCAAGTCACAAATTTGAACTYGAACGTCCCCATTAGTGGGAACTCTCTGTTGAAAAGCGGGGAGGTTTAGAATTTAAGACGGCGGCTACTTATTACAACTCTCTTACTTTTACTTTTAATAATATTTCTGTATTATTTATTTCACATTTAGTCAGTCATACACATAGTAATTTTCAGTGTTTATAAGAGGACATGTTAAAATGCTGTTTTTTTGCAGGGAATACCAGGTAGAGCTCAGTTGTTGGTTAGCGGTGCTCAGTCTTAGCAATGACAGGAGAGACATTTCATGTTTAGTCACGAAACATCAGCGTTTATTACAACTGGCTCTTTGAGGGCCACCATAACGCTCGTGTAGCCCTTAGTGAATATGAGCTTGACACCTCTGAACTAAAACATCATAAAAATACATCAGTAGAGCTTTGTTTTCTTTGGTCATAAAGCAGAAGTGGTTGGTGTTCCTGATACTACGTCTGTTGGAAACAACAACACACAGCTAAAGGCCTCTGCATACTCCATCTGAAGCCAAACAGTTGATGAGCAGTCACGTTCTCCCCCCACCCCCCACTTTTTTTTGTTTGAAGCAAACGGTTAAAACAAAATGCAGCTTCTGAGTGCTTTCAGCACAAACAAACACTCCCACAAACTTCTGACCAAYAACACAATAAGYTCTTATGTGCAGGGGGGTAAAAAGTTCGAACAGTGAGTTGTGTCGAGAAGCTGCCCAAATCTCGGCAATTCGAACAGAATGACGCAATGTTCGTCATGAAACTGCGACAATACGAACCAATTTCGGCAGTTCAGAGGGAGTATGTAGGAGCCTCAGAGCTAAAAGAAAGTGGCAGAAAATTAAGACCCTGAATATTATACAAAAGAATAAAGAAAAATTAACATCTTTATCTTGTATCTAGTAATGTCCATTTGCTTTGGCTTTTGCAATAATTAGAGTAAAAATAAAATATTAGGAAGTTTTTCGCATATTCTTTTGGTTTTGGAAATCACCTCATGACCGTTTTGCATCTCGTGAGCCACAGTGGGGTGGTTTTATTTGATTCAAAGAATGTGTGCAGGTACTTGTACTCCCTGGTTGGAAATCATTAGACCTAATGGTTAGATTTAATGCTTATTTCTCAGCTGTGATTTGTCTTTTTGTCCCAATTCATTCCCAGGTATGGAGTGGAGCCACCAGGGCTGGTGAAGTTGGAAAGAGAGATAGAAAAAGAGGAAACAGGGTGTTCATCTCCATCATCTCCACTCTCCTTTTTCCCTCCAGCATCACTGCATTCACCATCACAATCACCCCTACCCCCAGACCCCTCCTCCCCTCCTCCTCCTTCGTGTCTCACCTCCACAACAACCCATCTGCCTGAGCCTCTCGCTGCCTCCCTCGCCTCTGATCTTCCATCAGCAAACCCGGCGCCCACATCCTCGTCCCCCTCGGTCTCTAACCTTTGTACGACAGCCTCCTCACAGACCCCTTTGTTCTCTCCCTCCTGCGCTGCTGCTGCTGCTGCCAACACACCTGCTGCAGTTCTGCCATCGGACCAAACTCTGCTGTCCATGGTTCACGTCTGCCCCGGTGCAACAAAGCAACACACACCTCTCCTCAYTTCCCAGCCCGCAACACATAGTCCTCGTTCATCCAACAGATCTAAAAGCCAGAGGAGCACAGGCACCAGCGCTTTAGACGATATAGTATGTATTTTGTTTTCTGTTAAATTAATATACTTTCTTCATTCTGCGTCTTACTTATTTCCACCTTTAAAGGGATCCCCGATTAGTTGTGACATTGGCCTTTATTTGATAAACATACATTTTAACTGTAAAATAAGACTGTAAAAAAACTGCAGGCTGTTTAGTTTTGTAAATTTTTAAAAATGTATTTTAACACGGACGGAGCCATTTTATTTACACGCAAAGCATTCTGGGTAAATGATGACGTGGATAGGTCCTCGTTGTGAGCGAGCTATATCTACCCTGAAGGTTAATCTTGGACAATATCTGACAATGGGCTCTTTTAAATGAAACCAGAGAGCGTTGACAGAGAGGAGAAGGTAGAAATGACTCAGCCTG